TGTCAAACAAGTATGCAGTTTATTAATATAATCATAGCGTAACTTGTAAGAGCCATTGAAGATGTGTGCTTGTATTTATTCAAATACTAAGATGATTCATAAATCCTTTCCTCATAAATCAACAACTACAAAAACTAAAACTTGATTACCTAATAGATGTAAAACAAAATAGTGCACAAATGTTAAAGATCACAGTAATAGCAACTTGAATCTCATCTTCGTTTCTGCGATACACAGGCCTTGAAGTAAGTATCGGTACATGTATTTACTAAGGATAGCCGATTTTATCAACAATCTATCAAGACTGATTACTTAAGATCGCTGACAAAAATGTGTAGCATACCTGACCTCTCCAGAAACTTACCACAGATTAAGGATATAGGCACAGGAATGTCCTGTCGTCTCCAAAACATATCCCCAGCATTGATTAACAATAAGGGTACAGATCTCCTAGGCTGACCATAGTGGGGTATTTTGGGATCATTTACCTTTAGTAACTGAGATAAGACTCGATCAATTTATAAACAAACCTTTTGTGTATCAAAATTTACACCTTTTAATTTCGTATAAAGTTGTATCAGTAATCAAGTAATAGCAGAGAGGGGTATATATGATATATCAGCTACGAAGAAAATGAAATGTGTATTTGTGTTTTTATTAAGTATATCAGATTATAATAGAAAGAAGCAGATAAGATATGTAAGCTTTGAAGAAAAATTCTTCTAGAGGAGGAAGAAATCTCTCTCGAGTTCTCCAGTTTTATCCAGGCCGGGAATATATACATGTTTCTGAAACAGAAGATAGAACTGTATAACAGAAGATAATATGTGTACGTGCGCACATGTATACAGATAATTATCCATATGATTAACCTGAGAGCACTTGTATACAGATAATTATCCATATGATTGACTTTCATTTTCTTTTTTTCACATTTATTTCCCAGACCTATAACATTAAAGATGATATATAGGGCAGCTACCAGGGATGGGGCCCTGACTAAGCTCCCTCTATAACAAAATATAATATTAGCCCCTACAGCACCACGCAGGGTGCTTTATATCTAAATATCTATATCTAAATACAATGTCTCACATAATTTATTCATATCATACATTCAACCCGTATATTAACTAAATTGTATCATATATAGAAACAAAGAATATCTAACCGGATTCAATTTTGGTTCTAAATTTCTTGTTCGTATTTGAAATCCGGTGCGATTCATGAATGTGTTCATTTCATTTTTGATAAACACATTACAGTTACTTCCATTCATACGTCGACTCTGAAGTGAACTCGAATTAAAATTGCCAGAGAGTCTGTCACATCTGTTTCATATTTAGATGTACTTACTATAGGCGCTAACTGCCAAACAATAACTAAATTGTATGACAAAGGAGATGACTACATGTGGCTTTTCTATCGTCAACTTTCCTTTTTTTATGTAGTCATATTCCACTATCACCTGTATATGATGTATACGTGTCCTTATTTATTCGATACTTTGAGTACAATACATTTCTACAAACCTATCATTTGGGTCGTGTTTTGACTAACATATTTCACACCAATTGTACAGCCATCGTTTTTATAGTAAATTTTACAACGGGTTATTTAGTCTACCTGATAAATACATAGAGTTCACGGCGGGTGTGACTGGTCGACAGAGGATGTTTACTCCTCCAAGACACCTTATCCCAACTCTGGAAACAGGAATTTTCAGAGGTCTGTGTTTTCTTCCCATTTCACAGATCTGTATTGTTTGTTAGTTTTTGGTGGTTGTTCGTTATCTTCACCTTTTTCCTTTCAGCTTCATATGTCTTTGTCAAGAAACAAATGATTCAACCTCCTAAGTCTTCTGTAGTTGTCCACTATTCATTCTACTAATATTTATGATTTGGTTAACTGTACACAATCATTCCCTTTCTCTTTTAAAGTATCCCGAGGGGATGGAAAGATGTGAGCGCACTCCTTTGGGTGCATGAATTAGATTTTACTCTGTACAGGGTTGGGGTCAATTACTTTGAAATGTAATTAAATACTTTCAAATACATTGAAAATTTTGTCAATTACTTGCAATTACAATTACATTGATTTTTACAAATGTAATTAATTACTCTATATTACTTTGAAGAATGTAATTAAAACATTTCAATGACTTTTGTTTCACTTTCAAAAATCTTGAAGAACAAATACATGTAAATTTAGGGTAGGAAGAATATTTAAAATAAATAATGTCAGGTGCCTGTCATGTTTGTGTGTTTCATCAACATTAAAGACCTAGTCCTAGATATACATTTATCAATTGACTGCCTTTATGAAATTTGATTAAAAGCAAGTTTTCAAGAGTTTATGAATCCATCATAGAATACTCTCAAATTATTTCAGCTACAGGTAGGCAAGCTAAACACCTTAAATTGCAAATGTTGACAAATAATACTTGTTTTATGTAATAAATATTTAGATAGCAAATGCATACGTGTATATTAAAATCTGTTTAAATGTTAAAATAGTGATTCAATATTGATTTCTTTTCTGAAGTATATAAATAGTAGAGCATTCGTAATAGTATTTAATAATTCACCTCTAATGGTCATATCTTTGAATTTAAACAAAGCATGGTATAAAATTATATAAAACTTTGGAGGGTTGTTTTGATAGCAATTTACAGTTGGGAGTTGAAAGGGCAACAAGGCAGGTCTTAATGACACTTTAAATTATTTTCTATTCTTTTTTCATCATCAAACAACAAAAAAATTGAAATGTTTTCATGTCTATACCAATGAGAAGAGAAACAAAATTTTTGATGAACGTTATATGTGCATTATAATTATAAAACAAATTAATATTTTTATAAACAAGCCAATATATCAAATTCATTTATTAAGCTATAAAAAAGTTTAAGATTTTGAAAAACAGAAGGGATTCTTTGAATACATTTAAAATAACTAAAATGTGACTGTGTTGGAAATATTATCCTATTAAATTTACATAATATGTATTATGTAAAGTAATTGAAATGTAATTGAAAAGTAATTGAAATTACAGGGTATTTTTTCAATGTAATTAATTACATCCAATTACAAGTACATGTAATTGAAAAAATGGTCAATTACAAATTACTTCCAAATACTTTGAAAAATGTAATTAATTACACTCATTTACAATTACTTTTTTCAATTACCCCATCCCTGGCTCTGTAAATGTCATTAGTTTTGTTTGATGTTTATCAGCTCAAACGTTAGATTATAAATAATTGAAAAGCAAACTTAAATCATTAAATGTATTCAAACTAGGGTATATCTTTAATAAAGAGATTAAAAAGTAAATATTCTAATAAATATTAAGGTAGGAGAGATATCTTCGTAAACCTTGACAGTATTGAAAAATGAGTGATATGAGGAAGGGGCTAAGATCAAATTGCGAACAGATTTTGAGGTTGTAGTTTTTGTACATGCAAGAATCAATTATTTCAACAGCATTTAAAACTTGGTTTGATTTCCACATCTGTAAATCCAGCTTATACTCAGTTGTCAGTCAACACTTCTTTTAAATTTCAGTTTTAAATACTTTAAACATTCCAGTCAGTATATATTCAACCAAGCCCCAGTCCTTACTCTTTCCTATATACTAATTGCTGTGGAGGAGAAACTCTAGAAGTCTTCAGCTACATATTCAAGTAGTGGCGTAAATCAAATGGAGATTCTCAAACACTTTATAGAACACTTTACAATTTCAAATCACAACACCAAAACATGTGTTTTTTCAACATTTCATACCACCATTCATCGCGATAGATTAAAGAGCAATCTTATGATTGGTCATCTACAAGAATCATTCTGATTCTACACACAAGTACTCTGAAGTTGATATCAAAAAGATGTCGGAGTTCCTCGTTGACAATATCTTTGCAGTCTTTGGAGACCACGTCTCCGACACAATCGGAATTTTGATGGCCACTAATTGTGCTCCTTTATTAGTTGACCAGTTCTTATATCCTTATGAAGCAGAGATTATTCAGAAACTTCTACATAAAGAGAAGAAAACTCTTGTTGTGGTTTTCAATTCAACATTTCGATATATCGACGACATTTAAATTTTGAACGACAGTTATTTTTGTTCATATGTCAACTCTATATATCCAAGTGAACTCGAAATAAAGGACACCGCAGAGTCTGCCAAATTCTCTTCATACATTGTACTTGGATATTTTACTGATTATATATATTAATGGCCAACTAACAATTAAACTATATGACAATCGGGATGACTTCAGCTTTTCCATCGTCAACTTTCCTGATCTAATGCTTTAATATGAACAATCATCTACATATGATGTTAATGCCTCCCAGTTGATTCGATGCTCAAGAGCACACTCTGAATAAAATCAATTTTTAAACAGAGACAGGCTTCTAAAAAATAAGTTGAAGTCACAAAGTTTTAAGCAATCTCATTCAAAGTCTGCATATCGCAAGATTTATGGTCGTTATAATGACCTTCAGTAAATACAACCTGTCGTTTTTGACATAATGTTAAGCCATTCTGTTTTTTTTTTTTTGCTCCCGTAATCGATTTTATTTTACCGAAGAAATATGATGCATATTCTAATTTCTGTAATTATTTCTGTATTGGACTCAATGAGAAGACTGCTTCAGCTCTTGTGCTGACCGGTAGTGTAGGAAAATTTTATTATCGTTAAAATGAAGATACAGTATCTTGTGCTTTTCATTGTTATCAGTTATTACAAGATATCACTTAGCAAATAATCGCAGATGAGCTTACAGAATCAACAATTATAGTCAAAATTAAACATTTATACCCCTTCTCAATGATGGGAATGTTTGATATTCTAGAAGAAAATGTAATAAAATCCTTAATCATAAGACTGCCATTCTAATTTATTAATTGTCTGACGTCTATAAATATCAAAAACGGAACAAAAGTAAAAGTGTCTGTAGTAAAAGTGAACAGTGTGTGATTAACATTCAATAACAATAATGGCGTTCTTAACAAAACAAGGACTTTCAAAGCTCCGAATAATTTCCATCATTCTTCTATCAGTTGCTTTCATTTTCCAGATAGCTGCAGTTGCAGCAAACAAATGGAGTGAAATAGACTCGGAATACCATGGTCTCTCTATTAAGGCCTACCAGAGCCTTTGGACAGAACACATTATAAAAGATACACCGTCAGCCTATCCTAAACCTAAAAACATGGAAGTGGGTAAGTATACTTCCATCAACGTAGGTCTTTGGCAATGTTAAACACACCCATTAATGAAGATACTAAAAATTCACTTGATATAATGAATTATATTAATATCTTGAATTTCACTCATTCAATATTATGCAATAGAGTGCAACGGATCAATTAAGGCTGTCTATAGTTGTTCGTTATAACTGTGTCTTAGGCTGACAAAGAAGTCCGGATCCATTGCATACTAGTATAGTATTCTAAGAAATACATTGAAAACAAATGTGACACAATTTCTATCTACGAGGGTTGCCCTAGAAAAAAACGCAAACTTTTTAAATATCTCACAAACTACCTTACCAAAATTATCCATTTTATGAATATTGTTAGGAAATAACATTTTCATTATTTGGACTTAATATAATAATACTGTAAAATCATATGCAAATAGAAACAGCATTTAAAGGGTGTTAAATATTGGTGGTCGGCACACGGCAATTTTTTTCACTTTAAGAAATAGCATTACCATCGATATTTGCTTTATTACCAGGTTGTAGAAGCTAGAGAATATAATTTAACAAAATTAATTTTATGATCTGGAGTAACAATGTGTGAAAATTCATAAATATGTAGAGGGTACTCAATGTTTTGTAGTTCGATATGGAATTTAAGAACCCTCTACACACTGCACACTAGAGAGTTCTGATTTTATGGTATTTTTATGCAGATAGAGTGATCTGCCCTTTGATCAAAAATAAAATAAATGGACATGTACAGTTTACTACTTAATTTGCGATCAAATCAAGCATTCATAACACTTTAATAGGCCAAGAGGAATAGATAGAACACTTCATGAGCAGGTATTTTGCCCACTTAAGTAAGCAATAGTGATTTATGCTCATCAGCATTTTATTGTCTTTGAACATTTTTCCTGGGGGGAAATGCAAGGCACCCTATGCTGAAAATGTGATAGATAAGCTTAATGCTTACATCTTTACACACTATAATTGTCTCAATGTCCAAAAATATTTTCCTTTAGTGTATAGAGGGTCCTTAATTCACAAGTGTGACAGAGTTTTTCTTTTACTTTCACGAGTGAGAAGCACGAGTAAAAATTATTTAAAAAAATCTTGTCCAATGAAAAGGATGAAGATAACAAACAGTGATCGATCTCAAAAACAAAAAAAAATCCACAAACAATAAAATTTGTGAAAAGGACACAAAACATGGTCCCCCGAAAATGGAAGAGATGGGATCAGATGCCTAGGAGGAGTAAACATCCCCTGTCGACCAGTCACACCCGCCATTAGCCCTATCTATTGATCAGGTAGACGGAATTAACCGCAGTGAGAAAGTATAACAAGCATTCTGGTTCTAGCAATACGGGTTCCCTATCGGCAAGTGTAATCTATCCCCATTAAAAATTGAAAATGCCATAATTCCGTCAAAAAGCCTTGAAGTAGAACAAAAAGCAAACTTAATCTATAACTCATCACAGTGGAATCACATACTAGAATCAAATCAATATCTGCAAACGTTTAGAAAAAGTGCGGAAAACCCTTAAAAATTAAAAAGATCGTCATTCTGTCAAAAATTATCGAAACAGAACGAAATGCAAACTTGATATGTAACTCATCATTATACAATAACAAACCAAAAAACTCCATATCTGCAAGCGTTTAGAAAAAAGTGTAGAAAAACAAGTTGGTCAGACTGACAGACAGACAGGCAGACAGAGGAGGAAACTTATAGTCCCCTACGGTTTCACCGGTAGGGGACTAAAATCAAAGGCCTTACAATTGGTATGAAACACGTCAGCCAAACTACGACCCAATATGATACAATGTAGGTTATATTTGACAACAAGGTCATTATAACGACCATAAAATTTACAAAAATGCTGACTTTAAACTAGTTTCTTGAAATCCCTGTAACATCAACTTATCTGTCAGTAGTCTTCCTCGGTTTAAAAATTGATCATACTTAGAGCATGCTTTTGAGTATCGAATGAGTTGGAAGACTTAAACCCCAAATGAAGGAAAGTTAAATAGGGAAATGCTAGGTCATCTCTTTTGTCATACAATTTAATTGTTAGTCCCTTATCGTGTATAGCAAGTCTAGATATAATCCAACTAAAAATATTGATTTTTCTTCTGTTTATTACATTTTTCTTAATTTTTCGTAAGACAGTGTTATAGGCTGAGCGGTCTGAGACATCATAGCTTACAAACATTGTAAACATGGATTTCAACAACTTATTTGGAGAAACTTTGGCAACACTCTTCACGAGGGACAGAAAATCTCGAGTTTTGCCCCACTTCTGATATTCTGCACACTATAACAAAATATCACTTTAATATCCCTCGCGCTGTGTCAAGATTTAACTTTTATTCAATGACTAAATTTCAGTATTTCACTGTTGAAATAAAATAAGAAGATAACGAACAGTATTCAAGCTCAAAGTCCATTTAGACAATACAAATCGGGAGCAGAGCAAACACGGACCTCCAAAAACATGAGAGGTGGGAACTGGTGCCATGGAGGGGAAAGCATCCCCTGCCGACCGATCACACCCGCCATCTGCTCCTTGTCATGATCGGGGAAAAGAAAAATTCGTAGACAACATTGGCCAAACAATTAGCATGAAAAACGTCATTCGGCATTTGACTTAATGATATGTTGTATTTGCTGACAAGGTCATTGTATCGATTATAAAACTTGCAAAATGATGACTTCAAGCGAGACTGTTGATATCCTTCTTTCATCAACTTCTCTGTCAATACCTTACCTCGTTTTAGAAATCGTTCATTCATAGAGCATGCTCTTGCGTATCGAATCAACTGGGAGACAAAAACCCCATATGCAGGTGATAAGGGTATATTGCTACACAAGTATAAGGGAAGTTGACGATTGAAAAATTGAAGTCATCACGTTTATCATAAAGATTTGTTGTTAGGTTACCATTAAAGTCTTTTTCTAGTAAAATATCCAAATATGAAACAATGTGTCAGACTCTGTGGTATCTTTTATTGAAAATGTAAGCATATATGGCAATTATATGAAGTGATATTTCGAACATTTTCCGACAGAAATTATGAAGAATGGCGACGTCGGACGTTACTGCACCAAATTGTCATTCAGTACTGTATTGAGTGGGTTATGACTCCTGTTCAAACGGGAAAAGAGATGGAACCACTGAAATGAAACAGGTGTCTCTGACACCAGTGTTTATTGAAACAAGAGGTTCAAGTATTTATTCGATGATACAGGTGCTTAGTAACCCCCCCCCCCCTCAAAATAAGAGACAAAATTGAAAAGTCAGGAGCTTGCCTTCATAGGTGACGATCGCTGTTAAACTACACGAGAAGTTCATGATTGGGGCTGGGAAGCTGTCTATTCAAGATTTAATTTAGCAATCGTTCGATGACTATTACATATTCAAGATGGAAAATTTTCTTACCAAGTAAAACTCAAAATGAATTGTGGAATTTACCATTTTAAAGAAAAGAGGCAAAATCCCTGAACACACGCCACAAATTACGTTTTGACGTCGTCGGTGTTGCGCCTACATATATATATATATATATATATATATATATATATATATATATATATATATATATATATATATATATATATATATATATATATATATTACTACATCTATCCACTACATCTATAATCTGTTGTGTTACATCTATTATGTAAGTTTCGTTTAACTTAGAGGAAAATGTTATATATAGAGGTATTAAGTATTATTCAAAAAATGTTGATAATGATGCTTGTCAATTCTTAACTTAAAGTTATAATTATAATATGTTGACGGTGCGACCGCTGGGGATAGCGCAGTTGTGTATTACTGAGGCCGTTTTACAAGAGAACTTGTTTAAAAAATTCTTCATTATACTAGTATATAGATGTGCATCTGATTCTATGGGGGAATGATTCATTCTCTGATGCATGAAATGCCGATTTGTAAATATTATTGACAAGCTTTTTTTTTTCCTTAAAAATCCTAGTTTTAAGGAGAATTACAATTTGTATACGAATTTATTAAACTAGTTTGCTTCATTAAGATTAATTTAAATTCACTGATTAATCAGCGTAAACAATTAATATTTAGATGATTGATCAGTAAAAGCTTGATTCCTGTTTAATTCAGTATCATTTGGGACATCGAAGACAGGTTGCGATAGTCCGACATCCACGGGTCTACCTTGAAAACATTGTGTTTCAACTCAACTTTAAGATCATGATCTTGATAAGATTTTATCGAGGTTAGATTAACATCCTGTGGTTTTACATTATAAGGAGATATACCTTATACTTATGTAGATATAAGTATTTAATAAAAGCCGATTCCGGATAGTAAGTTTGATAGTATCATCAAGTTGTTTGAAAAGGAGAACAAAGGATTATCATGGATTCGCTAAACTTTGGTATAGTTCTAATATTTTGGATTTTAAACACTGTTGATTGCGAAACTGTATATATACATAGCGCAATTATCGCCCAGTGTCTAAACACCTGCTTTGAATTAGGTACTTGACAATGTTCTTAGGATGAAACACACAATTCAAAGCTCTTGATAATTTTCCTCACAAGCAACAAGTCACAATTATAGACATTGTTATAACTTAGAGATGAGCAACTGCAGAATGTGAAAAAAATGAATGCTAAGTTTACCTAGGTTTTCTGTAATCTTTTTTCAATCTTAGATTACTGAAAATAGTCCCCTTACTTGCTTACCTCGTGATAAGATGGAATTCATACATAATCATTATGTAAAACAGTAGAATCGTAAAACTGAGACACATTTTAATCAATTTAGAAACTCTTTTCCGATTGGATCTAAAAAAACAACAACACTATTTTGAAAATGATTAGGAATGAGTTTAAATTTTTTCGAACAGATGAATTTTTTTTAATAGATTTTGTGTTTTGATGATATTTTTGAACAAACACAAACTGTTTTGAAAGAACTGATTATTGCAAAAAAATTTCTTTAAATAAAAACATTTTACCAATAAAGTTCATAATTGTAAATAACTAAAGTTGACTAAACGTTCAGCTATGAAATCATATCTCCATTAATTTGTAGACTTCCCAGAATTACCCCGGCGTCATTGGAGAATTACCTGTCAATTTTATTGTATTTTTTTGTTGGTCTATCTGGATTTGTAAACTGTGGATCAGGAGTTAAATGAGCATAATTCTTTTTCTTCACTGTCATGTTTACACATAATTACAGTTGAATTATCATTTTTCGTGCCGTTTCAATTTTTTTTTACTTAATGAATATATATATACCCACACATTCACAACCTAAAGAAATATTTATCTATATGTGATATCCGTAATATAGAGATGCTTTTCCGCAAAAGCAAGTCCCTACGACCCAAATCGTTTAAGGCAATCAACGAAAATTGACCTCAATGAATAAAAATGTTTTCAAAGTATTTACATTTTAAAGATTTCAATACAAAAATTTTGTTTATAAATTTGATATTTTCCATCCTTTATAATTTTACCTGGACATGTACTTCTAGTCTACTTTACACGCTCATATATAAAGGAGTGCTCTTTATTGTAGAATGGAAGAAGGATTTGCAGATCATAGAAATCATGTGTATCGTACTTGGACTGACGTCGCTCACAGTACTGTTGGCAGTCTCCGTGGTTACCATGGTAGCTACAAGAATCATTTTAGCAGGAATATTTCGGGCTCTGGCAATCATAACGACTATTGTGACAAGTAATCCATATTTTGAAAAATCATTTGTTAAACTTTACGGTATTAGAGTTGTTTTTATGACATAAAAATATAAACAATTTAGATTTTAATCATGACATTTATACATTCATGAAAGCCATCGGAAATGTTATGTTTCTCATAAAGTCTTTAGAATATTGACTTACGAATAGAATGTCAGAGTAAATAGCTGCGTGTCGTTGTGAGAACGTGTTGCTCAGAGAGAAGATTTGTAGAAAAGAATGTTTTTACACTTTTGCTCTTGTATGTTTTTTTTAAAATAATAATCACTGTAAGATATTTTGCAAGGTTATCCGAGTGTCTTGCGTTGACTATTACTAGCCGTTTTCGTCTGTCGTCGTGCGAACTTTTGAACATTTCCAACTCCTTAATGGCATCTGATCCCACCTCTGATTTTGTAGCGGTCTGTGTTTGCTCTGTTCGCAATTTGTATTGTTTCAGAAGTGTTTTGAGCTTGAGTAATGTTCGTTATCTTCATATTTCATTCCCTGAACTGAACCACTTACAAATAATTTGAAATATATCATCAGTGGGTGAACGGAAAAAAAATATGAATTTGATAGTTTCTGTCTTTCTGGGGACTGAGTGATGGAACAAAAAAAAAACATTAAAATTCATGCAATCTTCAAAAATCTTCTTTTCAACTCATGGGCATCAAGCAATCTGTGGGCATGATTATAACATATAATGAGACCTTTATCATTTGTAAACATTCATGGCCCCAGGGTTCAGGATTCAGGGTTGTTAAATTTTTCATTTAAAAAATGCATTAAAAAATTGAATATCTTTTTCTTTACTCATGAAAATCTAGCAGGCAAACTATCTGCATTATCATAATGAGTACTAATTTTTTCCCAAAAATATAAATTCATGGCTTTGTTTGCCCAGAGTTCAAGCCTTGACGTGGGGCTAACTTAGTTATGTATTGAAAAAGCATTATATTTTTGAAATCTTTTTTTCTTTTCATATCTAATAAGCAAACTGATTACATGATTATAATGAGTACTATACTGCTAACCAAAATTGTTAAATTTGTGTCCCCGGTTCCACAAATCGGGCCCATGGATGGGACTAACTTGGTCAGAAGCTGTGTATTGAAAATACTTAAACCCTTTCAAAATCTTCTTTACGGATTTACTGTTCGTATGGTTTGTAACCCTTAGCCCTCTACCAATATTTAAAAAAAAAAATCATAGCCCCAGCAAATGGTTAGGTCCCAAGGGTGAGCTAAGTTGGTCATATATTGAAAGTACATCTGTACATTGCATTTACATCGAGTAAATGGGCCACTGAAAAGGAATATTTATCACAGTTACATATACTTAAATATGTTTTGTTGATCTGATATATATTCTTGTATTAAATTGTAATGTAATTCATTTGATAGGAAAACTTGTCCAGGGTTCCACTTATTGGCGGGCCAAAGTAGTCATGATCTGAAAAATGCGTGATACGCAGAAAACTGCAAATGCCCATATAGGATTCTTGTTTAATTTCCAGGTGTCATAGATACTATATGTATCTTGATTTTAAAAGTCGTCGCTGTCGTTACCAGTTGAGGTCTACCATCGTATTGTAAAACATTTTTTTCCTTGTTTGGCAAATAAAAATTCTTTGTGAAATTAAAGAATAAAACCCCTTATGCTGTTTCAAAAATTTGTATGCCTCAACCTTTTCTTTAAATTTGATTAACCCTTCAAAATCAAATATTTTAATTTGAGAACAAGGTTTGTCTGTTTTAGAAATTGTTTATATTTCTATTCAATAACTTTTGGAAACAAAATATGTTGAAGTAATTACTTCTATTTTAGGTTTATTGATAATTATCGGTGCCTTGTTGTACAACTACCAGAAAGTGAAGATGTTTTCTTTCAATGCTCGGAACCCCGCCAGTAACTACCCGATACAGGACGAAAAGGTGTCTTACGGCTTTATTCTATCAGTGGTCAGCAGTGTCCTGCTATCTACATCAGCTGTGATAGAAATAAGTCAGCTGATCATCGCTGATAGTATGGCTTCCAGTCACAGAGGGATACAACCACTGAACAACCTAGACAAGAAGCCTGAAGACAAACATTAACTTGAAATAATTTTTATTACTCAAGAATGTTTAATGTCAGTATGTATACAATCAAAATTCAATAATTTTATTCTCTTGAGTTCTGGAGAGCATAACTTTGTTTTACTATGTTTGACTGTTAAGTGATAGTTTGCATTGTGTGTAAAAATCAATCCTTTTTGAACGTGACATGAAAACTCTTCCCACCCTTATCTTTGAGCAGTTTAGATAGATTGATTGTTAAGGTTACATGTGATGATTTCATAAAGTATCTAAATCCAAAAGTCAATACATCTAGACCCACGGAAAATTAATCGTAGCACGAAAGCTTTGCGGATATGTATTTAGTTATTAGAGGCATCTGCCAAAAAATCTCTGTCATTGCCTACTTATCTACGTTGTCCCTGACTGGGAACATCCGATATCTACCATTATTCAATTTCGATCGGTTTAAACAATTTAACGATGAACCATTTGTTTCACTTCTGTCGGTTAAACAAACTTAGTTGTGTCATTGTGTAAAACATGAGACCATTTTTCAAAGTCCGTTGTCGTCTTCTCTTGTCAATGTATCTTATAGCATAGATCTTCACAAGTACTGATCAATATCCAATTGATCAATATTAGCAAGGAAAGTGTCCTAGTTTTTCCTCCAAAATAATAACAAATATGGACTGAAATTTTTTTCTTCACAGTCTACTATCAGTAAGTTAATTCAGTATGAATTTTGCCGAAAAAAAAATTTTCCGTACGTATGTGTTTCAATTAAACTGTTATTAATCTAATGGGAAGCTACATCGGTGTGAACGTGTATTTATTTATCTTAGCAAAATAAATTGACTTTATCTTCATATAGTTATTTCAAGTCTTTTGGGGGAGGAGGAGGTTCATTTTACTGAATGAAAAAATCCTTTCGCATTTAATTGTCAAAAAAACTTCTGCTAAAATGCTCTGGAAAGATTAATAAAAATTCTCTGATTGCCTAAAATTGATTTGTTTTTCTGTCATGCTCAATGCAATATTGGCAGGTTTGCCAGACTTTGTACTTACTTTAACATTAAGAAGCACTATTTTATATAAGAAGGTAAAATTTGGAGCATATAGTTATATATCCGTGCCGTGAATTGCGAGCGTTTCTCTTTTAAATAAAAAAAAATATGGACTGGAAATTTTTTTCACAGTAAAGAGAACTCTCATCCCTTAGCCAACAATCACATTGGCCATCAAAGCTTTTTAAAAATCTTGTGATTTTTAGTTTTTAGTAAAATTCTGTTTCATGGCTATGAAAAAAAACCCAATGAAATTTGAATTTAATGGAATGTTTTGAACATTAACATGAATATAAACTTGTTTTTTTGACTTCAATGCATGGTATAATAGTGCCCTTTGTGTATTTAGGAAATGAAAAACTACTGGGTTTTCCCCCCATTTCTTTCCGCGACTGAAAAATGCTAATCAAAGCATGTATGAATTTGTGTCATTTAAAACTTCTATAATATAAATCTAAGAAATGGTAATGCGAAGCTTTTATTTGAAAGATAATTGAATATTGAAAATAATCATGCTTTTTTGTAAACTTTGAAGTTTCCTTTTTTGTACATATAAGGTATCAAAGCGCATGCCCACTCCCAAGCAGTGCGCTTACAACACAGACAATAATTATAAAAAAAAAATATATAAAGAGTGGCAACTAATTTGTCATTATAAAACGAGGTAACACTGTTGTATATATTTTATATAAGGATATGATAATTAAACTAAACAATTGTGCCCATTGATCGTTAGGAAAACAAATCAATGCCAAATTGATAAAACTCTCACCTCTTTTTTCAATTTTACACAAACAAAATCAACAACTATACTTTACAACATATTATAATATTCTATTCTTTGGTTGATCTTTTATATGTTTGTAACAATGGGCGTTCTTTGGAATCTCAAAAAGATTTATGTGCTGTGTACAAACTTGTTTATCTGCTATTTACGACTTCCATAAAGGTTGCCGAAATGTTCAATTTAATGATAAGGTTGTGTGAAGATGGTTGCAATGTTGGAAAAATCAATAGTAAATAAAAGAACACAATAAATCTTACCCCTGTCAGATTTATCAGTAATTGATTCTATTCTGTACAGTAAGATACCACCTACATTTCATGATTTAATCATGATGGTTAACGACTAAATTTTGATCATGTAGGAACCTTTTTGATACAGGCACTATGTGATTAAAAAGGAAGTTAAGTAATTTCATACATAATTAATCTCCAATAAAATGTTGATAATGTTGACAAAAAATAAAAAAGAATAATAATCTATGCCATTTCGTTTGAGAGAATGAAATCTGTTCTTTTCATGGTTGGAGCTACAGTGGTTCCTAAATTAAGCATTATTCAAAACAACTGCAATGCTAACTTTTAAGAAAAAGAAATCCGTATTCAAATTGGTAGTTAAAATGAAAGGATAAATAGTAAGAGAAGGTTGGTTTACATGCATTAACTCGTATAACCACGGAATTTAATAAATCGTAAGATCTAAACCAAGGAATTGTAGGACATATCCTGCCCTTGGTTTTAGCATCATCGAATACGAGATAAAACAAACAAAATGAGTGATAACAGTGCTTTAATTTGACCATAATTTTCAACAGCTAAATTCTTACATCCTTTTAAGTCCAAAAACCATTCCTTGTTAACAGAGGTGTAATTTAAAATTCATAAAATAATTTTTAAAATCGTGTTTTTTTAAACAAAATGTCTTGCTGCACAAAATGTGGAGTATCTAAAACTCGTGTTTTTACTTTAATCCTGCTCGGTGTAGCTATAACTATCCAGTCGGTGTCGGTAGCACTTCCGGTGTGGAGTGAGATAAATACAAACTACTTTAAATACACCATCAGGGCCCATCAAAACCTGTGGACGGTAGAGATACTTGAGGATGGGCAAGCTGGAGCCTTCCCAAAAGAAAAGTCGAAGATGAATGTTGGTAGGTTATGGAATATCTACTGAATAATTTATATTTGTACATCTGTCCTTATCTACATTCCTGCAATTGTTCATTTTAAGCATTTTCGTAACTCATTTGATTTGTTTTTATTTATTTCTGTTATATATATTTCATAATTTCTTAATACGTAAGTAAAATGATTAAAACTTTTTATATGACATAAAAAGTTTTAATCATTTTACTTAAGAATTAAGAAATTATGACATTGTCCCCTTAATCGAAGATTCGAGGGCATATAGATTCTGGTCTGTCCGTCCGTCTGTTTGTCTTTTAATCAGCTGTTTGTCCGCAAAAACTTTAACCTTGCCCATATCTTTCGAATGATTGGTGCTAGGGCTTTCATTTTTCACATGTGTATTAAATATTCCTTGTGACAAGACCTTTCTTCGGGAACCAATATATTTGACCTCTTGGCGCTAGGGCTGTCATATTTCACATGTGTATTTCCTGTGGCAAGACCTTTCTTCGGGTACCAACATAATTGACCTCTTGACCTTGGAGTTTGACCCACTTTTGCAAAAAATTACCAAACTTTACCCTTTGCCATAACTTTTGAGCAGCTGAAGCTAGGGCTTTTATATTCATGTGTATTCCCTGTGTCCAAAGCTTTCTTTTGGTGCCAACATTTTTTATCTCATGATCTTGACCTACTTTTGAAAAAAAAAAAAAAAAAAAAAAACCTTGCCTACAACTTTTGAAAGGTTCGTACTAAGGCTTTCATATCTCACTTATGCATTATTTTGACAAGACCTTTCCTTTGGTAACACTATTTTTTACCCTAGAGTATGATCTACATTTGAAAAACTTTAATCTGTGCTTTGAGCTGCCGGACGGGGACATCAGTGTCTCACAAACACATCTTTTTGAAAATTAACATAGTTACGATATTTCACATCAAGTTTCTAAATTCCAACAAAAAAATAGTGCACTAATTCAAACAAATCATGCGCGGATCCAGGAGGGGGTCGGGGGGAGGGGGTTCCGGACCCCCCTCCCCCCCCCTGGAATTTGCAGAGGTATTAAAAGTATATACTGAAGCAAATAAAAAATAACTTTGGACCCCCCTCCCTTAAAAAACGTGGACCCGATCATCACCACCACGAAATAGGTGTTTTTCACGTCTGGTAAATGGATTTTACTTTTTTTTTTTTTTTTTTTTTTTTTTTTTTTTTTTTTTTTTTTTTAATAATTTTTATAATTTATCTATTATTTTTTTGCTTGTCCGGGTTTAATACGTTTGGGAAGGGATTTTTTGGGGGATTTTTTTTTGTTTGTCAAGAAATTTTTGGGTTGTAATTTTTTTCTTGACTGGGGTGAACCCCTCCCCCCGGAAAAAAAATTCCTGGATCCGCGCCTGCAAATACAGTTCTTCTTTGATTTCTTTAAATTTGCATTTGACATTTTAGTAAGCTAATTTTTTTGGAATTCATAGAACATATTAAACAAATTCTAATTATTACCTTACAAAGCAAAACGTAGCTACATGTACATTTTCGTTTTACAAGTCAACTTTACGTTTGGCGTAGCTAAATGTATTAATGTAAAGAATCGGACACCTTGATCTCTCTCTCTCTCTCTCTCTCTTGCTTTAGGGCAATGAAGAATACAGTCATGTATATTAACAAAAGGTCTTTTTAAGATCCTTGGATAAATTCACCACCCACATACATGGAAAAAAAGTGCCAAATATGATTGGCATATGATTCACAAAGGAAGTGTTTTTATATTTGGACTATATGATCAACAAAATTATGAAATTCATACATGAAACAAATGTCTGAAACATGACAGCTTATGACTTTCACTGTTCAGAAACGAAAACATGCTATTGTTTGTTTCCCCAACTATATTCATTCCATTTAGACATATAAATATTTAGACATACAGGTATATGTACTTATAGAACTATGAGAGTATTATTTTACAGGTTGGAAGAAAGACCTACAGAATGTAGAAGTAACTTGTATTGTAGCAGGATTGCTAGGGTTATTCACGCTTTTGCTGTCGTCGGTTACACGCAAAATGGCGCTGTTATCAGGAATCTGTAGACTTTTGGGATTATGCTTCAGTCTCTTAGCAGGTGACTTGAGAATGATATGTTCTGTTAAAATAAGAATCTAATTATGCAATGCAGATATGTACTAACAGTGTTTCATTTTTAGGTCACCTGAGTCACTCAGGTGACATATTGCTATCTGTTTTCGGCCGTCGGCTTGCGTTAATATTTGAACATTTTCAGCTTCTTCTCTGAACCGCTGAACCAATTTCAAAAAATTTTGGCATAGAACATCTATGAGTGAAGGGAAACAAAAATTGTGAATTTCATGGTCCCGGCCCCACTTGGGCCTCAGGGGTGGGGCTAATATCATCAAAATTAGTGGTATCTTTAAAGATTTTCTTCTTTACTTCTAGACACCAAGCAGTCAAACTGTTGGCATTAGTTTTTTTGAATTCATAGATTTTATTTGCGTTTTCACATATACAGACTGTACAATATATTAACTAACATTCAATACATACTTTCATTTCTACTTCCTAATAATTCATATCACACATTTTCTTTATAGTAAATGTATGTTGCATTTCAAAATCAAACTGAAATTATATATGACATGTTGTACATTTAAATGAATCTTCACTGTGAAAGCTTTATATACAGAAATAAAATAGAAAAAAAGGAGAAGAGGTGAAAAAGGGGTAAGTATAAAAAAGTGGGGTGGGGGGAACAGTATTAAGTATTGTAACATACTTGTACATTTGTATATAAATTTGGGGAAAATAAATACATTATAGCATATCACAAATAGTTTCCAGTACTTTTCATATTCTGTAAATTTACATTTTCTTAAAAGTATAAATTTTTCAACCAATATTCTTTCCACAATATTTTTTTCTAACATTGAGATACATTTACTTAGTTTAGGCACATTTTTAAACCTACAAGCAAAATAAATTGTTAAACAGTATGTATTAATATATTGTGTAGTCTAAACATGTATTTATTATTGAATTTGCCAAAAGTATATATTATTTTCCTTTCTATCAAAATTAATGGTAAAATGAAATTTATTTATAAACCACACTTCAATGTGACACTATATATTTTTTTAACGCGGAAACACTCGCAAAATAAATGCTCAATCGTTTCAAAATCTTGTTTACAAAAGGAACATGCAGGTGAATAAATTAGCTTGGGTTTATAAAGGTATTTATTTGTTGCAATAATCCTATGCAGAAATTGAAATTGCATACACTGAAGTTTTGCTTCTTTTGTTACTTTAAAAGGAAATTCGAATATTTTGTTCCAGTCTATATTGTCAAAAAATATTCCATTATTTTCCTATTTTTCTAGGACCCTAATTGCTTCCTTTTTCTTCGTAATGAGTATACTGTACATATCTTTACAGCCTTTTGTACTTTTATAAAAACTATAAAGCGAATTAGGGATAAAGGGTCCATTTTCTTCTCTTTTTTCAATATTAATACTTTTCAATACTTTTAAAACAGCTACTTTTAAAACTGCATATTCTATACAAAATTTGTTTTTACCATTAGATTTGTAAGGCACTCAAGGCTTACAAATTTTCCTTCAGATTCAAACAGATCTCCTGCAAAAACAAAGCCTGCATAAAAAATAGATGAGTTGTTCATTTTAATTCTTGGATTAAACCATATATGCTCATGAAAGATTTGCATACTATTTTGACTATCAGAGTCTCTGAGGAAGCAGTTAGTCAAAAGAGATTCTATTCTGTATGACACCTGATTAAATTCCATTATAAAAAGTTTGAATCCTGTAAATAAAGCAGATAAACTAGATGCATGGTTATGGTGATCAAGGGTGCCTCTGCCAAAATTGTGAAATTTGTTGCCCCAGGGTGAGGGGTTCTGCTTGAAGAGGGGATTCTATTGATTATATGGTATTTAGCTGATAAACCAATATATAGTTATGATGAGCAATGGCGCCTCTTCCAAAATTATGAATTTAATGGTCCTCTGGATCAGGGGTTCTGGTGTAAAGGTGGAGCTCTATTAATTATATAGTAAAAATGCATTAATTCTTTGAAAATCTTCTTCTCTGCCCCTAAGTATTAGCCAGATAAACTAAGCGCATGATTATAATGATCAAGAGTGCCTCTTCAAAAATTGTGAAATTTGTGGACCCGGGGTCAAGGGTTCTGCGGCAGAGGGGCTCTATTTATTATATAGTGAAAGCACATTATTTCTATAAAATTCTTCTCTGCTTCTGGGCATTAAGGAAAATACTAAGTGCATGGTTATGATAAGCAAGGGTGCGTCTTCCAAAATTATGAATTTAATGCCCCCTGGGTCAGGGGTTCTCTGGGGGTCGAATATACATGTATGTGTTTAATTTACAAGTAGAAAAATAAATGCATTATTTCTTTGAAAATCTTCTTCTCTGATCCTGGGTATTTAGCAGACAAACAAAGTTCTTATTTATGATGAGCAATGGTGCCTCTTCCAGAATTGTATATGTCATGGCATCTGGGTCAGGGATTTTTGGGTTAGGGATGGGGTCTATTAATTATATAGTGAAAATGCATTAATTCTTTGAAAGTCTCTTTCTCTGCATTTTTTTGTTGTTGAAAATCTCCTTCTCTGCTTCTGGGTTTTTAACAGTAAAACTAATTGCATGGTTATGATGTCTTTTTCAAAAAACTTTGAAATTCATAACCCCCGGTTTAGGGCTCTTTTGAATAAAATGCATTATTTCTTTGAAAATACTACTCTTGCCCAATATTATTAAGCTAACATACTAAGTGCATGGTTATGATGATGGTGTTCCTTCCAAAATTGTGAATTTCCCCTGGGTCAGGGGCTCTGGTATTAGAGAGGAGCTTTGTTGAATCCATATTGAAAATGGATTATTTCTTTGAAAAAATTCTTCTTTTTTGCTCCTGGGTATCTGGGAAGCAAACTGACTGTATAAAGTTGTAATAAGAAAGGGTGTTTTTATCAGATTTTGAAACTCGGTACCACTTGGTCAATTAATTAATTTTTATTCTACTGAAAGAAATTATTCCCCTTTGTTATTCACCTATGATAGTTATTTAATCACTGTAAATTATGCAACTTAAAAGGGCAATTACATAACAGTTATACAAGACTTTTTTATAATATTTTTCATATACAAAAAGTATTTTCGGAGTTTTTAATGGTCAGGTAGACTTTCAAATAATAGATAAATAAAAATGGGACAAAAATTCCTTATCTTTGTACCTTTAATAATCTTCAAAGACTAAGAGAGGCCAATGTGAGAAGGAATGAAATGGGTTTATTTATAGTGCTCAAGACCTATTGTTTTGTTTAGTCCGTGTGGGGATTGTGAGAAATGGTGGCAAATACAGACAAATAAATAGATCAACTTTAAGATTGTTACTGAGGTCTAAGTGAATAATTTGCTGATCCCTGGTCATCCTGTTGCTCTTGCTTTGGGCAACATAACTTCATTTATCAGCTTATTTTGTTTTAATCTATGGATCGTTACATTATACTCAGGTGTCCTTTACATGTAAGGCCCTTGGGCCTCTTGTTAATTGTTTTCCCCTATCCCTTGCTTTTCTCTTCTATGAAATTCAATTTGCATTTCAAATGAGGCGTTATTCGTTTGATGTTGTTGTCTTTCATTTACGCCATATGTCGTTCTGTTTTGATTTTGCAGCTATAGAGGTACTGGTAGGATCCCTTCTTTATGAATATCAACACAAAGAAATTTTCTCCATCAATGCAAAAGATCCAAAAAATTACTACCCCACAGACAAACTGGAGCTATCATCCGGGTTCTTCATCTCCGCCACAGCTGGTGCTTTGTACGCAGTAGTGGTGATTGTCGAAATTGTTGTTTTAGCAGCAAATAATGTGAAGTCAGAAAAGGAAAAGAATATGGTGACATCATTTGCATAGAAACAATCATCATGTACATGTACTTTTTATGGCGATTTACAATCCACACGAAGATTCTGTACTCTAAACATCAAATCAAATATAATAAACAACGTTAATATTTAATATATCCCCAGCGTAAATATCCATCAAATCAGTTTTATTTGTACAGATTTAGATATTTTAAAAAAAATGTATGATTGACTAAAAACAAGGTTTGTGAAGACTTATTATTTTGTCTTTTCTTGATTACATAAATGAATGTTAAATATTTACCAATTGTTCTAACAATAAAACACAATAACTGTACTGATCAATGATAAGACATGGTGAGGTTCAATTGACCTTCAATTGACTCGAGTTTTTAGTACATGTCATTTTGAATACATAAGAGACTACTTACATTTGAATGGTTTGAAGACCTACTAATTCCTTTCAACATTTAGAACTAAAAGAAATGGTTAAAGATTAACAAAACATTCATGTTTAAAATGACGTTTGCAATTTCCTTTGGTCAGATCTATAAACATGAATAGATTTCTAGTCATTAAGAACAATCACAAAAGACAAATTTAATACCTTATTTTGGCATGTTCTCTTTTTCATCAAATCAAAAGCAATGAAAAAGAGTTGCATGCTACTGTCTCTAATTGTTCATACGGAATTTATTTGCCCGCGTCGTATAGAGTTAATCAAAATTTGCCATTCCATTCCACCAGGATAGCTCCTCTTTACTTCAATTTGCCCCCTACGTGTTTGATAAAATGAAAAACGATTTCTAAACTGTTTTTTTTTTTCATTACAAAGCTTGAAATCCACATTAAGTCGAATTCTTGCCAGTATTATTTTATGTCTGAGTCTCTTTTTGCAAAATATTGTCTTGTTGACATTTTCCACTCTTGCTTTATATATTCATCATAGTCTCATAAATAACGGAATACTGTGGAATCATTTATTTCTTGGGGGAGAGGGTGTCAATGTCGTGGACACGCAAAATTTTAGTGGTTCGGGGGACGTAATTTCATGGATAACTCGTTTATACACAAGATTCAATGTATGAATATGTTGCCAAAATAAGTGTTCGTGGATATGTAAATTTGTAGATAGGGGTGAGCCACAAGACCAAGAATATTGATCCCCCTCGAACAATGATTATTGCCACAGTAGTTATGTTTCGTTTTCTTTTCTAAAAGTACATGTATATGGCGTTTCTGAGCTAAAACGATAATAGGAAATTGAGTGCAGATATATATATATTTCGTTCGTAAAAATTAAATTTTTTATCGATTCCGAACTCAGATAACATGAAGTTTCTATTTGGTCAAATGACTTAATTAAACTTTGCTGTGATTGTTGATGAGCAGTGATAAGACCCGCCATGAGCATGACTGCAGGAAAATACATTATTAATGCCATGATCGATTGATTGATTTTTGTTTTTACAAAGCCGTTCAAGAATTTTTCACCCATATACCGGTAAAGGGCTTCAAATTTAGACCTTTACTCGGAACTCGGAGCCATTGAGTAGTGAGGGATCTTTATCGTGCCAACGCCTGCCGTGACACAGGGCCTTTATTTTTAAGGTCTCATCCGAAAACCCGCAACTTTCACTTCAAAGTGCCGAGCGCTTGGCGAAGGAACAGTTGCTACTTCTTTTTTAATCGACTTACAATAGGTCAGTCGCGGCTGGGCTTTGTACCCACGGCCTTCCGATCACGGAGCGAACGTTCTACCAACTGAGATACGGATACGGTAAAGCCATGATGGAAGAAGAGGCTTAAGTGTACACATTGTTGTTAATTCAACAATTTTTTTTTCTTTACTTCTCTCCATATCTGCCAGTCTCTCGTTAAATACCAAACAAAAAAATATGTAGCTCTTAGAATCTACCAGAGCTATAGCTGTTGTGTAAAATTAACATTAGTGGTATAAAATTAAATTTAGTTGTTTAAAAGAAGAAGATTTTAAAGATATATATCCCATGTAACGTGTATGATCAGATTCTTACAAGGAGTATAAAGGTTTTTATTTTAAGATTAAGATTAAGTTTGAGATTATGATTGGAATGATTATTAAGACAGCTCTGTTTGAGGGTAAATCTCACAGTACTTAAATTTAAACTTAAATTTCCTCTTATCTAGAGACGGGGACTGGGTAAGGTACTACTTGCACCGTGTTCCTCCCCTAGGTTTCTATTGATAGATAAGAACCGGTTGCTCAATCTTCTTCAAATTTACTACACCCAGAACTAACATCAATGCCCTAGGATACTATCAATTGGTGTTCATAACTTTTATACTTTTTTCTTGCTCTTACCCTTAAGGTTTTCCATCTTCTATCCTTAAATGTTTATCACGAACGCGACTTATATATTGCAATAGCATTTCACACGAAAATATAATTAAAAACTTATTTTATCTGGAAATTATTGGAACTACGAATTCCGAGACGCGTTTGATCTTTGCACTTACACAAATTTTAACTTTATCCTTAATATTTAAGAAAAGAAGCGATTTTGTTATGAATTAATGAAAAATATTACATCTATAATCCAGAAAATTCAGAGTAGAAATGTTCGAAAGCAAAACCATCTCACCAATATTGTCAGTCCGTGGTCTGTTTACAGAGTTTAACAAATTGAACTGTTTTTGTAAACAGGGCACGAGCTCTGTAATTGTTAATGTTTACGATTCACCGGGTGTGTTCAATTGTTAAACTCTGCACACACCACTGAGCACGGACTTACAATACTGTGAGTGGGTTCTGCTTTCAAACATTTCTACTCTGAATTTTCTGGGTTATAGTTTTCATTTATACACAACAAAATTCCCACTTTTCTTAAAAATTAAGAATAAAATTAAAATATGCGAAAGCGCAAGGATGTGTCAATCAAACACGTCCAGATATTCGAAGTTTTAATAACTTCGAGATGAAACAAGATTTTTATTATATTTTAGTATGAAATGCTATAGTAACATATAAATCATGAAATTATACAGAAAATTTGAGAAAATATTAGCTTAAAATCTGTTTCCAAGCACCTTTAATAATCAATCCAATTATTAACTCCGACAGAGTAAAAGGAAAATCTATATATCCCTTGTAAGAACCTGATTATACGCGTTACATAGGAAACTTTACATTTGAAAACTCTCAAGAAAAAAAAGCCATTATTAGTCATATTTATACAGAAGCAACCTTTGATATTGTAGAATCAAGTTTGTTCAAATTATGAGCCCCCAGGGGTTAGGACACAACAGAGGGTCAACGTTTTACGTAACAATATATAGCAATCATCTTGAAAAATCTTCTGCTCAAGAACAGCAATGTGTTAAGTTATATTATAGAACCATCTTCAGGTAGAGTAGATTTATATTTGTTCAAATTTATGGTGGGTAGGGTGGGGTCATAATGAGCGATCAGAGTTTTACAGAGGAATACATAGGGAAATCTTTAGAATTCTTCTGCTCAAGAACAGCAAAGCCATGATTAGTTATATAGATAAAGAAGTATCCTGAGATAGTGTAAATTTAAGTTTGCCCCCCCCCCCCCCTCTGTTCAATACTGAACTGACTTGAAGTCTGCTTCTTCCTAGCCAATGTGCTCAGGTGAGCGATGTGGCCAATGAGCTTCTTGTTTCATATATGACCAGCAGGCTTAGGGCAATGCTACATGTAATGGTAATGTATTGCATAGCATTACTTGAATTCGAAGTATTGCTAGTAATATGTAATGCCAAACAATCTGCATTACATGTACAGGTAATGTAATGCATTTCTTTCTGAAATATAGAGTAATGCTATCATTACAATGCAATGTTATGTGTATACCCATTTTTTACAAGATGTGTTTGTGAAACAGGGTTAGTCTTAGCTGATTGCCGAGATTAAAGTTTCTCAAATGCAAATTAAACTAAAAGGCCAAGAAGTAAAAAATGTTGCACGGTACCCAAGGAAATGTCTCGTTGCAAGGAATATACCTGTACTTGTAATATTATTGTGAATTATAGGAATCCTTGCACCAACCATTCAGAAATTATGGTCAAGATTTCAGTTTTTTCCAATAGTAAGTCAAAGGTCAATGTCATAGGGTTAAAAAAGTTGGTATGCAAGGAAAGGTCTTGTCACAAGGAATACACATGTTAATAGCCATTCTCTGTAACCACTTAAACTTTTGTGGCACGCATAGTCACAGATTTTTTTCAAATTTGGCTAGAATTTACCACCTCATAAACTACTCCAAAAAATATTGTTAGATCATATGAATGTTGAGTAGTTACCATGGAAACGGTGTCTAAAGTTGATTTTTTCTGAAAAAATGCAATTTTTGGGAATGGCAATCAATGAAATGCGGCTACTTCAATCCATGTTACTCACAGAAATAAAAAGTATGACATCTGATTTTAAAAGGTATTTAAAAACATTGTTGGTATTCAGTCTATAAATATAAGAAATCTATGATTAAAATAGCAGACATTCATTTAAAAATTGAATTATCTCCCTTTGATAATTGTGAGCTCTTTAGTGCGAGAGATAAAAAAAATCATTGGACAAAACTGACTGGAAGTTGTTTACATTATCAACATGTATCCTGGATTTCAAGTAAAATCAACTGTTTTTTTTCTATTTATTTAATATGCATACAAATTTTAACCGCTTTGTTTATTTCCTGCATGCAAAAGAATAATTTTGATGGGTGAACAGTGGCGAAATGTAAAAGACCACATGGTACAGGAAATCAGCTCTGTGCACATTCATGATATTGAAACCTAAGCCTCAAGGTCTTAGGAGTTTCAAAATGGGGATAAAAGATAAACTTGAGATATCAGAATTATATTGAATTGGTTGTAAGAAGAGGTACAATGTCCTAGTCAGAGTGATATACATGTATTATAATGAATACAGCCTTGGAAAGTCAGTGCCTTTTTAAAACAAATGTGAAAAAAAACTGAATTATAATGTGAGAGAACTAGGCTATTGATTTTACCTAAATAATTAAAGTCAAGCTACATTTACATGTTT